ACAAAATTGGAGGAATCACATTACCTGACTTCAAATTATACTACAGAGCTATAGTAACTGAAACAGCATGGCACTGGCATAAAAATAGACACATAGATTAATGGAATAGCATAGAGAACCTAGAAATAAATTCAAACCGTTCTCCATAGTGGTTTTAATGATTTACATTTCCACCAACAGTATACAGGGTTTCCCTTTTCTCTACACCCTTGCCAGCATTTGCTATTGCCTGTCTTTTGGATATAATCCATTTTAACTGGGGTCAGATCATATCTTATTGTAGTTTTCGTTTGCATTTCTCTGATGAGCAGTAATGTTGACCACTTTTTTATATACCTGTTGGCCATTTATATGTCTTCTTTTGAGAAGTAACTCAAAAACCATATGATCATTTCAATTAATGCTGAAAAGGTGTTTGATAAAATTCAACATCCCTTCATGATTTAAAAAAAAAAAAAAACCTTTAAAAAAACTAAGTATAGAAGGAATTACCTCAACAAATAAAAGCCATATACAACAGACCCACAGCTATCATACTGAATGGGGAGAAACTGAAAGTGTTTCCTCTAAAACCTGGAACTCAACAAGGATGCCCACTTTCATTACTGTTATTCAGGATAGTACCAGAAGTACTAACTGGAGCAATCAGATAAGAGAAAGAAATAAAAGGAATCAAATTGGGAGGGAAGAAGTCAAATTAGCCTTGCTTGCAGATGTATGATTTTATATTTGGGAAAACCTATAGGCTCCACCAAAAATATAAAAACTGATGAGCAAATTTAGTAAAGTTGCAGGATACGGAATCAACATGCAAAAATCAGTAGCATGTCTATATGCCAACAGCAAACAATCTAAAAAAGAAACCCAGAAAGTAATCCCATTTATAATAACTACAAATAAAATTAAATGCCTAGAAATTAACTCAAAAAAGTGAAAGATCTTTGCAATAAAAACTATAAAACATTTATGAAAGAAATTTTAAGAGGACACCAAAAAATGGAAAGATATTCCATGTTTATGGATTGAAAGTATCAATACTGTTAAAATGTCCACACTACCCAAGGCAATCCACAGATTTGATGTGCTTTCTACCAGAAATAGAAAAAACAATCTTAAAATGTATATGTAGTCACAAAAGACCCAGAATATCCAAAGCTGTCCTTAACAAAAATAACAAAATTGGAGGAATCACATTACTTCAAATTATACTACAGAGCTATAGTAACTGAAACAGCATGGCACTGGCATAAAAACAGACACATAGATTAATGGAACAGCATAGAGAATCCAGAAATAAATTCATATATCTAAAGTGAACTCATTTTTGGCAAAGATGCTAAAACCATAAATTGGGGAAAGGATAATCTTTTCAATAAATGGGTTTGGGAAAACTGAATATCCATATGCAGAAGAATGAAACCAGACTCCTATCTCTTGACATATTCAAAAATTAAATCAAGATAGATTTAAGGCCTAAGTCTAAGATCTCAAACTATAAAACTACTAGAAGAAAACACTGGGAAAACTCTCCAGGACATTGGACTGGGCAAAGATTTCTTTAGTAATATCCCACAAGTGCACGCAACCAAACCAAAAATTGACAAATGGGATCACATCGAGTTAAAAAGCTTCTGTACAGCATAGTAAACAATCAACAAAGTGGAGGGACAACCCACAGAATAGGAGAAAAAAATTGCAAACTGCCCATCTGACAAGGGGTTAATAATTCAGAATATATAAGGAACTCAAACATCTCTATTAAAAAATCTAATTATCTGATCAAAACATGGGCAAATGATGCGTTTTTCTTTAGGTCTGTTGATTTCACATTCTCTAGAGCATCTTACTGCCTTTATATTTTCTTTATTTCTCTACTTTTATTTAAACTCAAGATCTGTAAAAGTCTCATTCATTCTCTTCACTTGGGCATCTCTACATATATCCACTTTCAGTCCTCTACCCTTCTGCCGTCATCTGGACTGGTTGCTTTCTATTTATGCTACATTACAATTTAGTGACTTCCTTCCACTGTTCTTCTGGATCACAATGACTGTTTTCTAGGTGCCATATTCAGTGGTGTGCAGGTAAAAGTTTAACATTGGTTCTCGAAACATACATATAAACTAATTCTAATTTTTAGCATTTTCTGATTTTCATTTTGCAAATATTCCCATCATGACAGACATCAAGTTCCCAACTTGAGGTCACTGACTATAGAATGGGGAAAAGATCCCTCCTTCCCACCCCCCAACCGAGGCCAGCATCTCCCCAACACCACAAATTAGTCATTTTAACAGAGATACTTCTAAAGAACAGTCATCCATTTTCCAACTTAACAAAGCAACTTGGATATAATTTCATCTTATTTGGGGTCTCTGGGTCATTATTATAAACATCACAGTCAAGGGCAAAAAGTTGTGTCTCTAGAGATTATGACATTTAGAGAGAAAATACTAGCCAGTAAACCAAATGGCTAAATAACCAAAATGCGAGTTAAATAGAAAAATTAGGTAAAAAATACAATGGTATTTTGTTTATTTTTGAAGTCTTTGTTGTTGTTGGTTAACTTTTCAAAATTGTAATAATCAAATCTAGTTTTCACAGTTTGTGTAGTTGTTACAGCTGCCCTTCTCCATATTCTCGATATGCTCCCTTCTCTGTTTTTCATGTCTTTTTATTTGTACTCTTATTTCTTCCCACCTCAATTCATTTTTTTAAGTTCTCAGGGAATAAATATTAATAAATAGAGAGCATGCCTTGAATATAAAATGCATATTTTCTCATAAGTGGCATTAATTTGGCTTCTCTTTCATTACCTGTGTTTTCTTTAATATCATAAAAGAGAATGCTATCCATGCATCTACTGACAGAAAAGAAAATGAGTTTTTCTCTTTGAAAGTTCACCTTAAAGGTTTTTGTCATGTATAACTGCTTTAAAATAGCATTGTTTTTCAGAATGAATGGCTGCAGCTGCTCTTCAGGGTTTTTTTTTTTTTTTTTTTTTTTTTTTTTTAGTATTTAATTATGTTTGGACATTTAAAAAATACATATTTGTATCACTGATGGGCCAATAAATAAAATGCTGCATAGAAAGGTTCCCAGGAACTAATTTTTAGAGAAAGGTTCCTAGGGTCTAATTAGAGTCACAAGCAGAGACAAGCAGGAGGTAAAAAACACTGTACTGCTGCTTCTTTCCTTACTTTGATATTTTGCGTTTTAACCATTTCTGAACATTTATGGATTCAGGAGATGAATCCTGAATGCATCCTGAATCATATCACGCCATGATCAGGAAATACCCGTGAAATGAATGTGGATCTGGTGTGGTTTTCTTTAGGCATTCGCTCTCTTCTCTTTTCCTCCACAGCTTGCTAAAGGCAAATCTTGACCAAGGTAAATTCAGCTTACTGGATAGAGGACATTTCTTTATGTCCAAGAAAATTAAAGCTATTCAAGCATACAGCTGTCACATAACTAGAAAAATACCTAGGGTGCCAATTTCTTTTCAAAGCTACAGTTTCCAGTGTCATCAGTATGGCTAATCACTGGATCATTTTATTAGAATTACTATTTTATCAATACAAAACTAGAAAAATGCCTGAAATGTGTAATGATTCATGACCAAATACAGCAGGTGATATTGTAAAATTTTTCAATGTAGAATACAAGAAATACTGTTAGAACATGATAGTGGCATTTTTGGTATTCAATGGACCATATGAAATGCATCTGTTTCATCATAAATGGTTGTGTATATATTGACACATTTTATAATTGTTTTAAAATGTCAAGATGTATGTAATACAATTATAATAAACTGTGGCATGTCTAAAATTGTAATGACCTCATAATTTCTATTTGGTATTCTAAAAGGATGCTGTCTAATCCAAGATGAATTTTCTTGTCGGTATATGATCTCAATAAAATGCGATTCAAAGGGTTTAACTCTAGCTTTAGATCAGAGTCTTGAGTCCAGAGTAAGTAAATGAGTAAGCTCCGTTTTGAACAGGTAGTTAGTCATTATCAGCATTGGCGATCTGAGGAAAGGAAAAGAAAGAGAACAGATTTGGCTAATGTATATTTCACACAGGAAAGCGGGGATACGCAGGAGTTTTTGTTTTTTGTTTGTTTTCCAAAATTATACTAGTTCTAGTGTCGCAAGCCCGGAGTTCTTTTTGATCCAATGATGTTATACTAAGCCAATCGTTTTATTAAAAATAATGATATGAAATAAGCTAATCACAGAAAGACAAACTTCACATGTTCTCACTTATTTGTGGGAGCAAAAATTTGAAACAATTGGACTCATGGAGATAGAGAGTAGAATGATGGTTACCAGAGGCTGGGAAGGGGAGAAGAAGATAAAATGAGGATGGTTAATAAATGCAAAAATAGAGGTAGATAGAATGAATAATATCCAGTATTTGACAGTACAACGGGGTGATTGTAGTCAACAATAATTTATCACATATTTTAAAACAATTAAAATAGTGGAATTGGAACGTTCCTAACAAAAAGAAAAGAGGAATGTTTGAGGTGATGGATACTCTAATTACCTTGGTGTGATTATTACATATGTATGTCTATATTAAGACATCACATGTACCCTATAAATATATATACCTATCAGGTACCCCTAATAATTAAACGTAATTTTTAATATAAAAATAAAAATGAACTTAAAACATTAAAAAATCTGTCTAGAATTTCTACTGTAGAAAATGATTTAAGAAGTGTATCTCTAACTCTCCAGATAGATTTAAAATCTATTTATACTTGAAGTTATAATGCTCAAAACTATCTTAGTATAGTTTCTGAGGAGGTGCAGAAAACAGTACATGAAATAAGAATGAAAATTCTAATAATAATGGTGACAAAAAGTGCGATTGAAGTTGAATATGCAGATTCCTCCAGCCACGAGATAAAGATTAAAATAATATGATGATGCTTGGATTAGGTACTAATGAACTTTGTTTTTGTTGTTGTTGTTGTTGTTGTAGATCTCAGCATTAGAGAGGCAGATCTTTGACTTCCTTGGTTTCCAGTGGGCTCCTATTCTTGGAAATTTTCTGCACATAATAGTTGTCATATTGGGTTTGTTTGGAACCATTCAGTACAGACCTCGATACATAATGGTGGTAAGTCTTATTTTTATCATGTCTCCTCATATAAACAATGCAACATTTCTATAAGAATATAAATAAAATATTTCTAAGTGGCCCCTTCTGATATAATGTGTCATTGCTTTTCTAGCCCTCAAATATTAAATTTTGTTCAGAAGTGATTATCTGTGGAAAATACAACGTAATGAATGTTGTACAGTGAGATCAAAGCCACATGCTCAAAAGTCTATGATGACATGGTGTCCCTCACAATGCAACTGAATTCAATTTTTACATAGAAATTCAAAATAGCCTTTGGATACAGTAGGAGGTCCGCTTATCGTCTTGGTTATAGAATAGTTAGATGCAATGTACATTAACTATCAGTGTATTAATTTATTAGTTGACTGAAATGTCAATTTCACTGACATTTGTCACTAACTCCAAAAAGCAAATCTGTCTAGCATAACTGCTTAATCACTGAAAACAATAATATATTTTAATTGTAATTGATTTAGGACATTACAAGTGCATGTATGAATGGATATTTCATACACATCCCTAATGTATTTAATACTAGTTGGTATTGAATATTTCTCCATTTGTCAAGATAAATTTGAAACAGATATCCAAAACATGGTCAGCACACACTCCATTATAGGACAGTTTAATGAGGTGTATGCCGTGATCCACAGTCTAATGAAAGTTATTCACAGTAATTACTTGTCTTTTCTATAACATAAAAAGAGGGCATTAATGTAGGCTACACATGTGAGAAGGTTGTGAGAAATAATAAGTATATAAATTGTTGTAAATTGGAGTAACATACTATAAAATGTACATTGAACCTGTGTAAATATACAGTGTTCAGTAGAATTACTGGGTATTTTCCTGGGATACACTGACATTGCCTCACTAGAAGAAAATCATAGACTTAAAAACATGCCATCTTTCCATTTTGACATAATCTAATTCTACCTGTGGAAATAATAAAGTTATTATTTTTCTCTGTTAAATGCATCCATCCTCTATTTTGATTTTTAAACTTGTCTTTTTTATTTCTTTCACCATTTCGCAGAGGTGTAGGTAACTGAACAGACTGCATTCAAATGGCCTTGGGAGCATTTGATGGCTCTCAATTTGCTGCAGGGGCTAATCAATTTCTGCTTTACTTTCCTTCTCTTAGAGATAGCCTCAGTCAGGTATGGTGACTCACACCTGTAGTCCCAGCACTTTGGGAGGCTGAGGCAGGAGGATTGCTTGAGCTCAAGAGTTCAAGAGCAGCTGGGGTTTTTTTAATAGAAATCTTGTGTTTACAAAAACTACAAAAAGTAGCCAGACATTGGGGTGCCTGTGGTCCCAGCTACTCAGGGGGCTGAGGCAGGAGGATCGCTTGAACCCAGGAGATCAAGACTGCAGTGAGACATGATCATGCCACTCCACTCCAGCCTGGGCGACAGAGAGAAACCCTGTCTCAAAAAAATAAAATAAAATAAATAAGTAAATAAAGATAGCCTCTGCTAAGTAACTGCATGATCTCCTAGAAGGGGGTTTCATGGAGTTGGACTTGCGGCCTAAGATGCTTTCATATCATGCATAATCAAGCTATTATTGAATTCTAAATGTGTTCTAATTTGTTACTATGAATATAGAGCAATTTTACTCATTACAGATTTTTGTTTTGATGTTGATGTTCTGCTGAGAAACAAAATACCTTGTGGCTTTGAAACCATAGTTGACTTCCAGAGAATGAAGCTGTAGGTAAACACCAGTGACATCTAGTCCTGTTGATTTTACCCTCTAAATGTTAACCCTATGCACTATTCACATAACTGCTGCCTTGGTTGAGGCTTATGTCTTCTCTCTTCTACGGGTGGACTTTGCCTCTTATTTTTCACCTTTCTCCCTTCCAATTTGCTCTTTGTGTTTTTCTTAAATTACTGGCCTAAAACCGCCACTGGGTCCTTAACTGGGTAAGATCTAAGAATATTCTTGCCTGATGTACTTGACCAAACTCATGTCTAACTATTCTTCTTTTTTTTCTTCCTTTGTTCCCCCACCTCCCTCCCTCCCTCCCTCCATCCCTCTCTCCCTCCCTTCCTTCTTTCCTTCCTTCTTCCCTCCCTCTTCTCCCACCCATCCTCCCTCCCTTCCTTCTATCCTTCCTCCCTTCCTCCCTTCTTTCCTTCCTTCCCTCTTTCCTTTTCTCCTTCCTCCCTCCCACCCATCCTCACTCACTCCTTTCCTCCCTTCTTTCCTCCCTCTTTCCTTCTCTCCCTCCCTCCTTCCTTCCTTCCTTCCTTCCTTCCTTCCTTCCTTC